ACAGGGATTGGACTGGACTGTGGGACATAAAGTGATACTCATGAGGAGTGTGCCTCTTAGCTCAAGTAGATACAAGAGACTAAACAGGCAGCTTCTGTCCAGAGGTGAGATGGGAAGGTAGAGAGGGTTAGGGGCTGGTTGAATGGACATGGGGAATCAGGGGTAGAAAGGAGGAGTCTGCTGTCACAGTATGGGTAGAGCAATTAGAGTCACATAACAATGTATGTATAAATTTTTGTATTGGAAAAAAAAAGTTCTCCCTACCTGCAAGAAGACTACCATCATGAAAATCCATGATCATTACAATGGCCATATAAACGAAGATTTTTTAAAAGTGACACATTCATAGAAAAAGCACATTCAAGGCATAGAAGTAGCACAGGGAGGGAATTAATAAGTCTGTTTGGGAAAACCAGGAATGGCTTCAAAAAATAGCATAGCCTGTGGGGGGTGGGGGTGTAGGAGTGGGAGGAGAAAGAACACGGCTACTGGAGGCCTGGATATGGCTGCAGCAGAGACGTAGCTGGGGAAATAAAAAGGGGTCAGACTATTTAATAACCTAATATTCTATGCTAAGAGATTTTGACTTTTTTCTGTAAGCACTGGTGAAAGATTTTAAGTAGGAGAGTAGAATGGCCAAAGTTGGAATTTTATAAAAATCACTTTGGTAGCCATATGGAAGATGGATTTAAGGAATACTACTACTGGAGACAAGATCATTTAAAAGGTTATTGCAGTAGTCCAGAAAGAGATAATAAGATGTATACTCAGGATGGAGAAGAAAGGATAGATTTGAGGAATACTTAGGAAATAGAATTTACAGAATTATAAAATATTGGTGGACATGAAAGTAGAGTCTAGGTTTGTTCCTGGGCTTCTAGTCTGGTTAAGTGTGTAGCTGGTGATAGCTCTAACAAAGATAAAGGAGACAGGGAATATAGGAGGAAGGGCAGGTGAGATGCTTTTTGTTTTTTATTTATTAATGGTTGAATTTGGCTTTGGATCTTGAATCAGTCAGGATAAGCCAGGTTATGTGGCAGTAACAAACAACTGTCAAATCTCACAGACTTAGAACAACAGGGATTTCTTTTTCACTCATGCTATATGTCCATTTTGGGTTAGTGGGGGATCTGCTTTACATTATCTTCACTTAGGGATGCAAGCTGATGGAGCTTCTTCCCTCTGGAACGTTTCTAGTTCTCATAACAGGTGAAGGAAATAAAATGATTTCTGTGCCAGCTCTAAAAGGCTTCTGTCCAGAAGTGACATACATTACCTTTGATACATTTCACTGGCTGAAACAAGTCACATGCTATATCTAATTTCAAAGGGCCAGGGAAGTACAGTTCTACCTTATGACCAGAAATAAGAGAAACAGAAACGAACAGCATGTAAGAGTATCATAATCGGTCCTTTTGGCCACTGGATATTCATTTCACCTTTCTTCCTGCAAGTGAAATACAGTTGCTCCCTGGAAAGCAACCTAGAAGAGATCTAATGAATTCTGGAAGGCTTAGTAACACATGGAGCCCTGGCAGTGCAGTGGTTAAGAGCTACAGCTGCTGGACTGCTGACCAAAAGATTGGCAGTTCAAATCCACCAGCCACTCCTTGGAAACTCTATGGGGCAGTTCTACTCTGTCTTACAGCGTCACTACGAGTTGGAATGGACTCGGCGGCACCTTTTTTTATTTTTATTTTTTAACATTTAGATAGAAAAGATATCCAGAGGACAACCAGAGATATGAGGCCTAGATTTCAGTAGAAAGTTTAGGGTTAAAGATTTAAAAGTGAGAGTCAACAGCAACGAAGTGTTAATTAAAATGATGGGGATTGATTAGTTTCCCAGGGAACAGGACAGGGCCCTGGAGATCAACGTTTAATTATAAGGCGAAAGGGTATGCAAAAAAAAAAAAAAAAAAAAAAAAACTCACTGAAAAGGAATGGTGAAGGTGGTGGAAGGTGAATCAGTAAAGCAGGTATCATGGAAACATGGGACAAAAGAACCCAAAAAGGAAGGAGAAATGCAAGGCATTAAGTGCCACCAAGAGGTCAAATAAGATAAGGACAAGTGTTAATTGGCTTTGGCAATTAAAGTGATATAGGATGGCAATGAGTTTTAAGTGACTTTAGAACAATATTATCATTTGAGTTATGGGGACAGAGCAGTTGAGGAGTGGATGGGAAGTGAAGAAATAAGAACAGTAAGTGGAGTTCCCCTTTTGAGAAGAGAAAGGAAAGAGAAGGGGAATACTGGGTCAGTAGAGGGATTTTGTTTTTAGGGTGGAAGAGACTGAAGTATGTTTCTAAGATGAGGAGAGGAGACGAATGAGGAAAGGCCCCTAGAGAGAGGGAGCTGGATGATGGCTCACAGCACCCAAGAAGGAAGGAGGAAATGAGGTTAATAGTCGTGCAGAGGATTCTTATGAGGTTGGAGAATCAATACCAGGAGTCTAGGTCTGGGAACACTCAAGGAACAAGTTTACTCTAGGTGACTAAATCTGGTCTGGGGAAGAAGGGGTGTAATGTGATGATGAAACATAAATCTGAGCGAAAATAAACCATTTTAAAACTGTGAAAGAAGAACGCATTACTAGAAAGAATAAAGGGGGAACTAATTAATAAAAATTCATACTTGATCAAATTTAGGTAAACTGATAAATAGAAGTATAGATTGTTAAAGCTGCAAGACCCTAGATTTCCATTTATACATTTATTCCATTTATGTCTCTGATTTATACAAATGTTGAAACTGATTCCCTGTGTGGCCAAGGTTAAAAAGCTATTTTTATTCTTTAAAGATGGGATCACTTAGCTAAATTATGAAGAGGAATGTCAATTTTAAGCTGTGCTACAAGAAGAAAAAGATCAATACAATTTCCAGGAAAAGTATATTTA